ATTCTAACTACAGAAGAGTTAATCACGATTGTAATACACAAATTTGAGATTAGAGAAAAAGAAAACAAACTCAGAACAATTTGGCTCAGAACTCAAATCAGATATACAGCGTTTGGATTCCGCAGATTGAACAGAGAGTTTAGTCTTCCATTAAAACACTTAACCCAGACGAGAATGAGAGAATTCAAGAGAAAGTAAAAACAAGAATTCTTATTTTGGCCAAATCTTAAAAACTCAAAGTGTCTAATCGCACCCAAATTCAAAACTTTATTAGTCTATTTATAGATTCTTATTAGGTAAATTAAGTGGTCAAAATTTGGGCATTAATAATATCTAAAAGCCCAAATACAATTATTAAATAACAAGGGTCCAAATGCAATCCCGTAACAATATTCAGTAAATATGTCTCAACTTCAAAAAATCATAAAATATAAAAAATAACTCTAAATCTAATGATTCATATATACATTTTGAAGTCCTAATTGTGTAGAATATAATGCAACTAGAATCAGACAGAAATGATATCTGTAAAAAAAAGTTATCGCTAAAAAAGTAGTCAAAGGTTAAAATAACCGAAAATACAAAATTAAAGCATTTATTTGTAACAAACCCAATTTATTCAAATAACTAAAAAATGATAAAAACTCTAAAAATAAAGCATATAAAAATTGTTTATAAATCAAAACAAAACTGTAAATGTAAACTTAAAATATGTTACATCAATAATATCTAATATTTATATAAATAAAAATATAATTAAGCTTTACAGTTAAACACTAGTAATATTAAAATTTGAATAAAAATTTTAATATTTAAATGATAAAAACATAAAGATAACAATGAATAAAAAACATCTTATTAACTAAAAAATGTATAAATAACAATGATTAGTTTCAAATCATTGTAATAAAAATTTAATCTAGTAAATACTATTGTTAATTAAATCAATTAAATATACTTTTTAAATTTTTTATCATTTCATTATAAAAAAATGATTTTCAAAAATTAATTGTATTACATCTCGTTAGTAATTTATTTGACTAGGCTTTTGTAGAAAATTTTTAAATAATTTTTTTTTTTAATACGACTATAGTTTTTAGAATAACGTGTTTATATTAAAAAATCCAATTATGAAGTGTAAGGACAAATTATAACTTGTAAAATAATTTTACGCATCATAATTTCAGAAGCGTGGAGGATAACAAATTTATAAATAAAATGTTATTTAATTATGGAAATTTGTTATGAAATATACCTGGCATTTGTATTATAGATTTTTTTTAAAATTTTGAGATAGATAAATGTTATCTTGCAGTAATTTTTTATAAAATTATATCATTTTTAAATATTTACGTAAAATATTTGTAGTATCGTATAATTAATTTCTTAGACGATGTGTGTGAATGGTATTAGCAATAACTTTACACACACATATGAGAAATATCAAATGAAAGAATCCTTTATATGAAACGAAAATGATAGCAATAAATATTAATAAATAAGTTTTATTAAATAGTTAAAAATTAAAATAAAATAAATTCTTTAAATAAATTTTATTTTTAATCATATATCTATTATTATATGACTAAAGTTTATCGATTTATAATTTAATCATGGTAATTTGACATAAATCTATTAAATATTTTTGCATTATAATCAGTCGCCAAATTTCAATGTCATATTTGTAATTGATTTTGGATGTAAATAAAATAAAAAAGTATTTATAATTTAACTATAGTAACTTGATGTAAAATCAATTGTGATTCATAACAAATTTAAACAATCTTCAAAGAAAAACTCATTAATTTGTGCCAGAAATTATAGCAAGTGAAAGTGGTAAAAGACTCAAGTAAAAGGAAGAAGCTCACAAAGAAAACAGAAGAAGATCAAAGGACAGCTAGAGGAATTTCTAAGTTTTTTTTTTTTAATTATTATTATTATACAAGGTCTTTCATAACTTCTTCTTCTTCTTCTTTTCATGCGTGCATTCTTCAGTTCTTTAATACCATAAGCCAAGATATTTCTTTACATAGTTGACAACCCTACACATCGAAATAGGTGAAGCATGTCAATAAAAAAGGTTTTTGAGGTGCAACACTCATATTTAAATTGTTAATTATATGATTTTATTTAATTACTAAACTAAACAAGTTGGTTTAGTTTTGTTTTCATATTAATGAATTGATTTTTTTCTCTTTTGAAATAGCATTACTATAATAATTTTCTTTTTTTTTATTCATTTATTTCTATATTGTTTAGCTTTCCATTATCTTATTATATAACATTTACATTCATTTATGTATATATCATGTGTTATATACGCTTTTGAATTTGAATAATACAGAATCTGATCAAAAGGAATTGGATGGAAGAATGAATAGAAGCTCAAGTTCCACAAAACAAAGTCGTCAAAGTCGCAAAAAGAAATCATTTTTGAATATAATTAGTTGTTTTGGGTGTAATGATGCATTCAGAATCGATGTACATGAAAGTCATGCATTGAGACCCATTGCTGAAGATGCTTCAAAAACGAAGTTTGATGTTTTGGATCCTCCTCAGCATGCTTAATTGGAGTTAGTCTTCAAACACCAATGGCACTCTTCAATTTCTTTCAATGAATTATTCAAATTATATTCTAAGAGATATAGTTGAATAGTGAAGGCGAAGTCTTACAAAACTAAATCAATTTCGGACGAAAAAATACACGAATATTATTGGTTATGCTGCGATAAAAATAATCTAGGAGTTATTCTTTATAGCTTTAGGAATAATTGTATTAGTTTTAGAAAATTTACAAAATTTTTGTTCTCTTAGAATTTTATTAAACTTTTATTGTAGAAATTTAATAAGCTCTTTTAAGAAACTATATTATAGTAGGAATTTATTAAAATTTTGGCTTTTATTTTGTCACAAACGCATGTTTTATTTTATGCTATTTTTTTCTTTTACATTGATTAATAATAATTAATAAATATTATTCAAAATATAGTAAAATTTTAAGATATCTTACGGGTATAATCTTACGGTTTCTTAAATCTTATGTTGTTTCTCTAGTTTAACTTTATCTATGTTTAGCATATACTCTATTCCTTTTTATTTCACTAAAATATCTAACATTTTTTCTAATATTTAGAGTAACGTTGAGATCAAACAATGTATTAAAAAAGTTCTATGATGCTAGTAGTAAACAAAACATGTCATTACAATTTTAAATTATCTAGGGTAGGCATGAATACAACTTTTAGAATAGTATTATGTATTACAGTTTAAGAGGATATTTGCTTATACCACATATACACAAACGATAATTTTACATGGAGTGCTTTATATAATAAACTTGACTAGCTTTTAAGAATTTTTTTTTTATTGAAATTCTTATATTATTGTGGATATTTCACCATACTACTGGAGTGAGTTTATTCTGCATTACTATTCTATTTTGATAAAATACATATAACTAAATACTCAATTAATGTTTTGAATCAATTATATATGACTACTCTATTATTTGTTCCCTTTGTTTTACATCGAAAGAAGCATAGATTTTATTTTCAATATAAAATAAATGGTGATGATTTTTAAGAATGAACTATAATATATACTATACGATAATGATATATATGTTTTCTAAGGGAATCGATTATTGTTCATGTACAAACAGGTTTAATGTTAAGAAGCTAGTTGGCCCAAATCGATTTTGATTGGAGGGTGGTTGTGGGAGAGAGATGAAAGTGAAGGTGAGAGAGCCACAGATTAATCTCCAAGCATATGCCAATGCAATGGTTGTAAGTTTATACATCAAAGTTGCATATTGTGTTGATTTTGTGTGCCTCACTCACATGAGACATCACAATTTGATCTCAACTTTAATGTCTCTTCAAACTAAGAAGAATAAATAATTAAGTGACAAGAAAGAAGCTACATATCACTTATACCCAAATCAAAAACAAGAAAATAAAAATCATGTGTATCCTATTTCTAAGCATTTAATACAGCTTTATTTATTCAAATTTAAATTCAAAATCGCTTATTAAATTGAAATGACTTTTTATTAAACTTCTTTTTCATAAAATTAATTTATATATTTTTATTAAAAAAATAATTATTTTTAAATAATGTTTTGTCTAACTTCTACAAAAATCGGATAAGTTTTTTTTTTTTTAAAAAAAAAGAACTAAACTTGGTTTGTATCCGCAAGATCTAAAATGCTTACAGGGTGTCAAGTTGCTCTTTTCGAGGTTTCTTTATGCAAAGGTTCAAACACCCAGAAAAGGGAGAAATTTTGCAATTGTCAAGGTTGTGGCTAAAACCCCTACGACTGTACCTGTTTAGAATATGTTCTTTATATGTTTCTCAAGAAATTTGTACCCAAAATTCTTAATCTATTACCATTTAAATTAAATTCATCATGCTTTCTCAAGAAATTTTTTTCCCTTCTAAAATTAAATAAATAATTTTGATACTCACATTATTCTTATTATTATTGTGTTATGATAGAAAAGTAAACACATGCATATATGCACAAAAGAGACAAGTCGTTTCTATACAATAAAATCTCATATGATATCACTCGAAGGAGAATAAAATTGAGAATAGATTCCACAATACTATTTATCTGTCCCAAATTATATATTCCTCTGATTCCAAAATTTTCACGTTACCTTTCAAGAAAATTCCTATCTACTTGAATTAATAATACCCACGCTTATGATGAAGTAGCACAGTGGCTATATCTAACCCTAGAGATGCAGCATCTACCTTTATATATATATATATATATATATATATATAATGTGCATGATTTCAAAATGTTTGTCTTAGAAATTGATTATTATTTAAAATTAACTAATTATAAAAATTTAAAAAAATATATTAAAGAATAAGTTCAAAAAGAATATATTTACAACATTTTTCTTTAACATTAATACCTGTCGGAAATGGCTTCTTCCTTGAGATATTATATATACTGAGAAGCCAAACTCCAAATGCAAATTTACAACATGTTTGGGTGGCGACCTCGGAAAGCCAAACTTCCTAATGCTTTGTCTGTAAGTGCCCACTCTTTTCTTCTCAGTACAATGCAAAACAAATAAATTAATCTATTTGGTATGACCTTGAATATTTTGTTTCATTTGCTGTAGATTGTGGAACTTAAGGTACATATGGATTGCCAAGGATGTGAAGAAAGAATTAGAAGGGCAATCTCAAAATTGAATGGCAAGACCTCAACCATGCAATACACTTAAAATAACTATTAAACCTAGCTTCCAATCTTTCATTTCTTAATGATTTTTACATACTCTTTTTCATTCCATCTTCAAACTTCTCTCAATATCTCTTCTCTTTCCATAACATGTTTTATTATAACTTTACTATCCACTTTTACATGAACGTAAATGGGACATATATAACAAGTTATATTATCAATTTATACTTTATTTCAAAAATACTCATAGTATTAAATGAATAAATGTGTCTACTTTCATGGATAAAGAAGATTACATTATAAGTAACTAAAACAGAATTCACAATAAATGAGAGTATAAAAATAACTTAGCAATTGATGAGTTTAAAAATAAATTTTTTTATAATTTGAATTAAAGAATATTGGTAATTATTTTTTTTACAAATAGGACCATAAGTAGTATTTTTTTTAATACCTCCAATATTTACACTATTCTTAGCTTCACTTCCTACCATAATTAAAAGGAAAAGTGTGGGAATTAGTGTAAAAATTAAAATAGAAAAGAAACATTATTAGTTAATATAAATTTGTATGACATTAAAATATATTAATAAAAATATTTTTCTTAATTCAAGCTTTCAAGGTTGATTAGGGCTTTCAAGCTTTTGCATGCAGGTGTTGATAGCTTGGAGATAGACATGGATAAGCAGAAGGTAACAGTAACTGGGTATGTGGAGAAAGGGAAGGTATTGAGGATTGTGAGAAGAACAGGAAGAAAGGCTGAGTATTGGCCATTCCCTTATGACAGTGAATATTACCCATATGCTGCCCAATACTTGGATGAGTCTACCTTTGCTTCTTCCTATAACTATTACAGGCATGGTTACAATGAGAGTGTTCATGGCTATTTTCCTCAACAAGCTTACTGTACTGTTGAAGATGAAACACTATTCCTCTTCAGTGATGACAATGTTCATGCACCCTGTACCATCATGTGAATCATTGATTCATTTTGTGTGCTATCATTTATAAACACTTGGTAATTTATTTTAATAAACTTTATAATCAAATTTATACATTACATGCTCTTGTGTAATTAATAAGAATTTATAAAATAAGTTTTTCATTTATAATTAATCAACTTATGTACATGTTACTTTTTTCAGTATTTAATCATGGGTATCTCTAGAGATATTAATGTGAGATTTATAGTCTAATGAGCACTACAATGTTTACATATATCTTCTGATTAACTTTCTAAGTAATATATTTAAGTCTCATTGATTTCTAAAGCTCAGGAAGATCTTAATCATGTTTTAAAAACTATTCTTTATAATTAAGTTGTTTTTACACATACATCTAATTTAATTTCTATAATTTACCTTGTAAATCACTTTTTTAATCTTAAAAAGTTTATTTTGTTTTACTTATATAATTAAGTTCATCTATTAGATTATTTTAATAATCTTATTATAGTGGCGTATGTAACTTATAACATAACTCTAATTAATGATTTAATGTGATAGTGGTTAAATATAAAATATAGAGTCATTAAGGGTATAATTATAAATACAATTATAAGGAAACCTTCCCTTCTCCCTTTATATAAATTAAAGAGCAGTTACCAAATGAAGGTTACGATATTCACTTTCATTGAAAGAAGAAGGAAGAGTTGGAGAAATACCAAAGAATCAACGACATCAAAGAGAGAGGTAACATCAAGAAATAATGGATTTAGGTTAGTGCTCTCTAAACCCTTAATTGTATGAGAACCATATATTGTGTTGTGAGAGCAACGTAATTCAAGATCTCAAAAGAAAAAAATAATTTCATAATAATCATTGTATAATAAAAATTACATAATAGATTAAAGAAAATTCTAATATCATTAGCCTATATAAAATTAATAGTATGCAAAAGGATAAAAATATATTCTGTAGAGGATTGTTTTAAAGTGTTACAAGTATGAGTTTTAGCTCTTATTAAGAGATGCTCTTGAACGGAGTATTATAGCGTCCACCTAAAAGGAAACCATCTCAAATAAAATTTCCCAAAGCAATGGCACTCTATTTCAAGAATAACATTCCGATCAAAAAATAAAAAAAAAGTGAGAATATTATTATTATTATTAATTTTTTGAAATACATGTCATGTTCTTATTAAGGAAAAAAAAAGGAGATAAAAAATAAAAACAAGTTATTTTAGTCGGAGGTATTCCAAACTTTTGTATAGATGCAGTATCTAAAGAATTTTATTAATAAAAAAATACAAGTTATAAGAAATATATATTATTATATATACTTTATTGTTAATAAAATTTTCAGTTTTACATGTGTTGAAATATTATTAATTAAAAATAAAATTTACCCTTATTTTAATTCCACATGTTACAATTAATTAAGATAGAAGTGCTAAAAAGGTAATATTGATCCGGATATTGACAAAAATTAGCTTCTTTTAATATTGCATTGCAATTAATATATTTTACTTTTTTTTATATATATTTTTATAATTGTTTAGGTAAATTGATACTCTTTTGGACTTTTTAAAAGGATTTTTAGTGCTAAACTATCAAGATTAGTAAGTGTAATAAAGAATAAAAAAATTATAATCAAAAACTTAAAAGTGTTGTGAAATAAAAGTTACATTGAATTAAAGAAATTCGAAAATAAATTTATATAGAACATAAATAAATGTACCAAAATGCTCTGAATAGCCACTAGTCATGCACTAAAATTATGTTTTAAAATATGTTTGTAGTGATAACTTTTATCAACTATTTCTAGAAATGCAAAAGTATTTGAGATATTACTAGTAACTATTTTTAGAAGTATAAAAATATCCAATTGCTTTGATGGATTTCTCTAAAGATTGATATTTTCTTTGTTAAATTAGAGCCTTTTACGCAGGATGCATACTAAAATACTTGACTTGATCATTCTTTTCATGTATGTATACCTAGTTCTTGAAATCTATTGAAGTCAGGGGGCAAAACTTAGTTGACTCAACTTAATATAAAATTATATTCTTGTCCATTATCATAGATGTGCTTTAACATTGACTTCTTCAATAAGTCACGTGTTTTAAACTTGCTCATCAACATTTATCAAGAATTGAGATCAAATCCTCATTTATATGAATTTCAAGTTCATACAGAGTGTTAATAGTAAATGTAACCATGTGGCATTTTTGTAGTCAAACTATTATAACTTATATTATAATTGAATCACTGATTTTAAGAATTTAAGTGTTCAATGCTTAGTCACTTGGATCAACATATTCTTAACAAATTTTTGGTCGAATTATTATCTTAATTAATATTCTAATTGAATTTTAACATGTCTCAACAATAACATTACACAAGATAAATATTTATATATGATAATTTTTATTAAAAAATATATAATTTAATAAAATTCAATGTATTAATATTATTAAATTTTATGTTTTTAATTAAAATTACTATTAATATGCGACATTATACATATTTAAAAAATTATAATATATTTAATTATTTTAAAATTAGCTTTATATATCTTAACATGAGCTAAGTTGATGCCAAATTATAAAAAAGTAACATTTAATTACCAAAATAATTAAAAAAAATTCATAAGTTAGAAATACTTTATCCTCTCAAATTAAGAGAAATTAATTGAAAGAACTTCCCAAAAAATAAAGAAACATAATTATTTGTAATTTATAAGAGAAGTTAAATTTATTTTTTATAATATTTTTTTTCTCTTTTAAATTTTTTCTAAAATTTTTAACCAAAACTATATATATAACCAAAATTTTTATCTTGCGCCATAAAAGTTGGGAGGTATTGGAATTGTTTGCGAGAAAGAGCTTAGATGATCAACAATTTTAATTACCCTAAACCATGATTTTATATGAACTTTACCTGCAATATAATATGAAACTACATACACTTTTATCTCTAAATAACCAAATTATTTCAAAAACATTAATTAAACTTTGTGATAAAAATAAGATATAAGAAACAATGAAATATTAGGCACCATTAAGATATATATGCTTTGTAAGTTTATACTTCAAATCATTTTCTGGTGTTCAGAGGTGTTCCTGTTAAGGATATAATGATCTTCAATTATCTCTTCTTCAGTTCTACATTGTGACGTCCTTGTGGATGTCAAATCCTTTTTTATATGACGTAAGGAGGATATTTGCAAAAGGCATTTCAATGATAAAGTCAGGTGTTAGTTTAGGCAATAATTGATACTTGTTATTCAAAAGTCAACCCTTACCTGTACTTCTTATTTTCCTTTTATAGACAATATTTTGAGCTAACGGGCTTCATGACTTAACCCTGTCTTAAGCCTTCTGTTTAAGTAGATAGTTAATAATTATCTACCTTAATCTGTTTAATCATCTCTAATTTATCTTAATATGATTAGAGGGGTGTTCGTCTTTGAGGCTAAAGGAGTATTCAAATTCTTTCTTTCGTTGTAGTGACTGAGTAGGATATCTTATCCAGTACACTAGTCCCCCAAGTTCGAGGAAGTATGACACAAGGCTTATTTAGATCTACTGAATTTGGTAGTGTGACCGATAGGGTTCTCGGTTTGAAATTTGTTAGTGCTAGGCCGAAAGGGTATTCGGATTCCTGTCAGAGAAGGATTGAATTTTCTTGCGTATTCTTGCCTTCCAAGCCTTATGATATGTTGACATTTTAGGGTTTCAGTAAATTAGGATTTCCTCATAGGTCATACTTTGAAATGAAAGGTTACTCGTTCATATCCATTGATTTGGAAGAGATCTGATGGTTAAAGAGGAGTGTGACCCTTCATCTGCTCGAAACCGTATGTTTCATAAATAGGTGGTGGTCCAGGCATCATATACACTTTTATACTTTGCACCGAGGGGTATATTTTGCTAATCTGTTGGAAGTTTTCTCCCTTCTAGACTTTAAGGTACGTTTGTCTTGCTTTGCTCTTTTCTTCTCCTCTTATTCTTTTATGGCTGACTCAATCGAGTAGGGGGACTCTTTATCAAACCAATCAAGGCCGAATATTGTTTCCGATGAGGTAGGAGATTTAAGTGAGACTGAAAGTGTTGAGGGTGTTTCTTCTCGACCAATTGATATTATAAACGATCAGGATATTACTATTAGGGATTTTGGAGATGAAGTCAAATCATCTAATGCTGATGAGGAGGGCCCTGTGTCGAGCAAGTCGATGAACTAGCCGAACGCTAGTCCCCCAAGAGAAAGGCCTAAGTTTTCACCTTGTACAATTCCTGGTTACGAATGGGTAGACGATGAACTAGCCGCATACTTCTGACGCTTCCAACAAAATAAGCGATCACAAGCCTTCGTAGATCACTGTGATATATCGTTATGGGATGCCTCATACCCTTATCTGATAATTATTAATGTCTATCGAGGGGATGACTCTGAAGACCCCGAACTAGTGTTTTTAGGTGGCAGTGCTGAGATGGTCAACACCTTTTTTGTATATGAATGTATATTTAGGGAATTAGGTATTAAATTTCCATTTGATGATTTTCAAATAGGTGTATTAAGGGTTCTGAACGTTGTCCCTACACAGTTTCACTCGAATGGGTGGGCAGCAATGCAAGCGTTCAGGACCCTGTGTAAATTTCACTATCTCGAGCCTAACGTAGGTTTGTTTCTTCATTATTTTTGTACCTGTTCTTCAGACAAGGCAAGGTGTGTATCACTAATAAGGCAAGCCGAGCTGCCCCTTTTTAAACCTTATACCTCCTCTTTCAAAGGTTTTAAAAGTGGTTACTTTAAAGTAACCGTGCACCCTGTCGGTAGAAAATACTTTTTTGATAATGAAGATAGACCTCTCTTTCCCTTTCATTGGACTCGAGTCCCTTGTCGATATGACGTATACCCTGAAGAGATGTTGTCTCCAGGAGAGTTATTAGAATTGAAGTATATAAAATCTCTCCCTCGCGAACTTCCTACCCGAGCCCTCATCCTTTTGCGTACGTCCCCCAAGCCTCGCTTAGA